AAAGAAAAAGGCTAGAGTTTTGTTTGTGTTATACGCAGCTGCAACACGATCGGCCCCTGGGATCACCTTTCCTCCCCGCAGGCAGGTGAGGTGGAAGCCACCGTCTCCAGGTATCGGGCAGTAACTCAACCCCGCAGACCCAGATACAGACGCTGCCCCGTGAGCCTCCACCAGGGAGAAACCACCTCCGCCGCGAACGCAGACCCCGCTGCGGGGAGAACTCCCACCGCCATGCAGGTAGGTGCTGGGGTGCGTGGCTCAGCCGCGGCAGGGAGGCTGATCCCTCGGGGGACAGCGGGGTAACAGCTTTCCCTGCGGTGTCCTACCCTGCCAGCTTTCACATGGCATCGTAAGGCCAGCTACCAGAGGGTCTTCTTTGAGGACACATATTAATGTCACAGGTCCTCATCAGCATCTCAGGCCTTCAGCAACAGCTGAAAGTCAGGAGATATTCATAGTGAGCTACCCTCCAGTATTTCCACGCACGGACGTACAGAAGGGAGCCTTCTAAACTACAGCATGGCAACATCCCTCTCAGCTTGGGATCTCACCGTGCCACAAGAAGTGGGGTTGAGGGAGGAAACGAGCCTTACATTAAGAATACAAACACCATGGTCTAAAAGTTGTAATTCTGTTTTGCATGAATATATCACAAAATGAAGGAAAGCCTTTCTGTTCCAGCAGCAAGACAATTGTGTCTGTCTTCTCTCCCCCAGCTGACGCTCTGCAGGCTCCGGACGCACCAGTGGTGCTTCATTTTCTTTAACGTCTTCCTTTTCCACGTGCTGCTTTTTGGGGCAGATTTACTGGAGGAATACTTCCTGCGGTCATTACCTCTTTCCTACACCGACGCCAAGACTCTGGAAATCCGGGAGAGGGCCAGGAAGCTAGATGTGGATGCTCTAAAGGCCAATCTCTCTTACACTGTCAGCAGCACAGCAACATGCTCCGATCAAGAGATATTTTTGCTTGTTCTTGTCTGCAGTAGCCCAGAAAACAGGACAAGGCGCAACGTGATCAGGCAGACATGGGGCAACGTGACAGACGCCAGAGGTTACTCTGTCCTTACTCTGTTTGCTTTAGGAAAGCCAGCCTCGGTGACAGCCCAGCTGGAGATCAACGAAGAGTCACAAACACACAGAGACATCATTGAAGGCAGTTTCATTGATTCTCCTGAGACACAGACACAGAAGATGCTGATGAGCATTGAGTGGACAGTGACGTTCTGCCCTCACGCAAGGTACATTCTTAAAGCAGACGAAGACGTGTTTGTCGGTATCCCAAGTCTGGCTGGATACTTGCTTAGCTTAACGCAACTAGAGGACGTTTACATTGGGAAGGTCATCCACCAAGGAGTGCCCAGCAGAGACCCCGAGAGCCCTGGCTTTGTTCCCATCCATCAGTACTCACAAGAGTTCTACCCCGATTACTGCGACGGGAGCGCTTTCGTCCTGTCCCAGGACGTCGCTCGCAAGGTGTACGTGGCCGCCGAGGAGGTGCCAGTTTCAGTGCCCCCCGATATCTTTGTCGGAATCTGTGCGAAAAAAGCTGGCATCACTCCCGTTCACAGCTCTCGATTTTCTGGGGAGAAGCACATCAGCTACAATCGATGCTGCTATAAATTCATTTTCACCTCTTCCAACATGAAAGAGGACGAGTTATTTCAAGACTGGAAGCAAACAAGCGATGGGAAAGATTGCTCATTACTGGAAACCTATTACGGTCTGCTGTCCTGCAAGGTTTCCACCTATATTGATAAGTTCAAAGTTTAACTTAGATAGAATAAAAAATGAGGTTCTTCATTTCGCCAATTAAGATTTAACTGAATAAAGTCTGAACTCTTTTACCAGCTGTTTCATCTCATTAACATTCAGTAACAACGATCTCTCAAAGTTTGCTCTCTTCCCTTCAACAGCAAACGAATTCTCAATGCTACAGCGTGTTACTGCAGCAAGAGAACGAGATGTACTCCCGCTACGCAAGTCCCTGCAAGTGCATGCATGCAAGCTAACGAGTATTCCAAGAAACTTTGTCTGTATCCAGTGTTTTCCAGACATTTGAAGTCCTCTGCCTCACGCTGAAACTCCGTCTGCATTTTTATCTGAGTGAGGCATCCCCTGCTTCCAAAGCACTCTGTAACAAAGGGAGCTGTTTCCTAGCAGCCTGTTCACCGCACCAGTGAAACTACAGAACAGCTCGGAGTGGGCACAGACATCGAGCCATCCTGGGAACTGATTCTGTAAACAGCCCGGGGGGATCCCAGGCGAGAAATGTAACTTCCCTGCTACAGAACCTTGTATCCGTCAGTCCTGGTGTCAGAAACACGCCGACACAAGCGGCTCAACGCCGTGCCGTTACGCTGGAGAACTGCGCCAGCAGTGAAGTCAGAACAAATTCCCCAGAGCACTGGTAACACCAACCGTACTCAAAACGTAAAAACTCCCCAAACGAGGAACCAGCCCCAGACCACAGCCCCACCCAAGCCTGCAGCCTCCGATCACCTCTGCCGCATCGGCTCTTCCAGCAGCACACAGAGGAGCTGGACAGATTCGTTCCGCACTTGTGACGGACGCACACGGGAAGAGACACACCCGTGCCTTGGAGGGCCCCGTCCACTCTTCCCGCTGCGACCGAAGGAATTGGAGGTGTGCTCCGAATTCTTATGTACCAAGTTATGCTGCTTGTTAACCAGGGACAAATGATAAGTTCTGGGTCTGGCTTTTTTTTTTGTTTGCTTTTGGTTGGGATTGGTTTGGTGGTTGGTTGTTTTTTTTTTTTTCAAACCAAGTTCATCAAGGTTAGCATGTTACCTCAAATCTCCTTCTCCATCCCTGCAATTCTCTTTTTCCTCAATTATCTCTACCTGCTACATTACAGGGACAACAGGCTCACGTTTTTCCACTGTATTTAAGATACACCAGTAGCAAAATGTAAACCGTGTGGCAATACACAGAATGGGCAGGGAACTAGCTGTGAATAATACAGGATAACCATTTGATCAATTAATCAGAATGTTGATCTCAAAGCTCAACAAAATAAAGCATATGTGCATATATAAAAAAATCCCCTTGTTTGGCATCTCTGTGTATTCTAAAATATTGTATTTGGCAAATGTACTACGCAAAGCAGATGCTAAAGACTTAGCACACAGAGTAGCCTTGAAAAGCAACATCTGAAAACACACATGGAAGAGACACACGAATTGCAGAAGAGGTTTCATTTACATATTGATTTCTTTTACTGAGATTTTAGTATACAGCTCATACAGAGCTACCAGCACGCAAAGCCACCTACAATAACAAAGCTGAACCATCCAATACAAGTGCAAACTAAGGAATTCTATACTCTTTCCATTTCCTTTTTACTGCTTCCACGCTTTTTTCTGGATGGAGGATTCATGAAGCTTCCCCACTCTCTGCCTTCACAAACGAGACACTGTGTACTGCATTTCTCACTAGCAGATGTTTATTATGCACATCCAGGATGAAAGCGTCAGCAGCAGTATGATGTGGGATGACAACTTTTGCACATATTAGATCATAAGCAACAAGGCAGATCACCTGCGTTCAGCCAGCCTATTGAACATCAAGGGATCCTCCCCAACCACCCTGCTCCTCTCAGCCCGCTCCGACTCCTTGCCAGCAATGTTTGGCAGGCCATACCATCACCTCTGCTGCAGCTCAGCGCTACCACAAGCAAGAAAAGTTACTGCATTGACTAGGTCATCCTGCTTCACTCGGCAGAGTAGGGACACAGGGCGAGTACTTTCCACAGAGGTATACCCGACTTGACACACTACTAAAATAAGCCCAGAAGTAGTAATTTCGTGTTTTATTATGCTCCTTCCAGCTTGTCCTCAGATTTGTTTCTTATGTCCTCACCAAAAATAATACAAACATTTTGTATAAAGTACATTGTGGTCTTTGTTTCTGGACCGAGACACGCCACGTGTCACTAGAGCGCCCAGCCAGTCGCGCATCTCACCCGCAGCTCGCTGACCATCTTCAGAGGAAGACACACAACCACGTAAGGTACTGCACACCCCTCCTCCTAACTCAGCTCACGCCCTTAAACATGAAAGCTTTATCTTCTTACCCCTTTAACTCAGGCAACTAAAATCATATATTTTTTTAAATAACACTTAAAATTAAAAAATTTCATTTCTGTTAAAAAATAGTGTAAACAATTGAAGATTTGGTTCTGAAGCAGACCTGTAGTGCTATAGCTCACGCTCCTTTTGAGCAAGAAAACTGAGCTGCCGTACAAAGTCACAATCAACAAGGAAGACAAAGCTCCCAATTTGGTTTTATACACTAGAGCTTGCATTCATTTGTTTTCAAAAGGGCTAAAAGCTTTTTTTATCCTCAGCATAAAATGCAAACAATATTTAGGATTATGTATTCAAGCAAGACTTACATCCAGCAAGTCGAAAATAGAAAAGAATCCAGTTCGTACTCCCTCGTGTGGACAGAATGTCACTAAGTTATTCTTACCAACAGGGTTTCTGACAGAATACGAATGCCTAAGAGTCTGTTCCACGCAAGTGCCAACTTCGGCAGATATAAAAAAATATATAAAAAAAAAGAGAAAGTACGGCAGCATCTGAGGTTACACACCTCGAGGTGTTTTGGTGTTTGTTTTTTTAATTGAACTGTGATCTACTGAGAAAACACGATAGGAACTCCAAAACCCCCAAACAATTGAACGAAACACTGGTAATTTCTGCAGAATACAAACACAGCCAGTAGTCGACAGAGTGCTTACCTTGGTTGCTTGTCTCACGACAGTACAGAGAACTTCTGTCGTGACATTCTATGGGAAATTTTGCTGTGCCCTGTAGGTTTTGATTTGCTCTCCTGACTCTCAGAGTCAAAAGGCTTCACATTCCTTTAAAGAGACAATCTAGGGACTCCAGTGAGGGGAGTCTTCACACACCTTATACCTTAACCCCTATTTCAGTAACGTGGCTTGCAGGAAGGGGAACAGAGACACCAATGACATTATTCCGCTCCTTCCACAGCTGTAGTAGACACTGCCTTAACATAATAAGGGCCTTCACGCAAGTAAGCCCTAAGCCTCAAGTAATACTGATTTCCAAAGATTTCCGCGATTGTTTTAGAGTTTACGAGGGCTTTAACCAGTTCATATTTGGCATCCTTCGAAGCTTTGTCAGGCTCCACAGATCTGTCTACAACATACTCCACGAACCCTGGACTGTCAAGCATCAACTTCTGGGCCCATGGTTGACTTGCAATAGCCTAAACGTGAAGACAAAAAAGAGGGGGGAAGGGGGAAACACGTCATTTTAAAAACCCCCAAACCAGTGACACAGTAGCCTGTCATGCAGATAGCCAAGGAACAGAAAAAGTGAAATGGGACATTCACTCTACACAGCAGCTGCACAACCACCACGCAAATCAAGCGGCAGGGTTTAGCACCGGAAAGCAAGTACAGCTCAGTGCTTATCTTTAAAGTTTTAAGTGAATTATCACAGCAGTGCCTCTGAGCACCCTAGAGCATAGCTGTTGCTTTTTTTTTCCCCCCTCTCCAATTTATAAGAAAATAAACATTACAGACATGACACGTTTGCTACATTATTTAAATGCTGAATGCCAACAGGGCCCAATGAAAACAGCCTCATTTCTGACCACTTCAGGGCTTCAACAAGAAGTTTCTTGCATTCACTTAAAAAAAAAATCTGAGACCAAATGGCAATACAATTCACTACCCGACCTTTAAAAAGAAAGAGCACTTACAGTAAACACCCGTAAGGCCCCACAGTGGAGATCAGGGAATGGCTGAGTACTGATGCTCCTGAAGAGTTCCAACGGCTGGCTAGACAAGGACGCGAACCACGATTCAGTCATTCTTAAAAGGTCTTCTGTCTGCTGCTCTGCCTACACACACCAGAGAAATGCACAGAAACGAAAGAGTTTGATTCAGATTATGTAAACGTTTCAAGTTTTGAGTATATGTTCAATAGTTAAGGAAGTTCTTTAAAACAAACCACTACATTAAACTGAAATAGCTTCTATTTTCAACTTATTTTCAGGAATGAAGAAATGGCCTTCTATATTTCATTCAGCTTGGAGGACAGACTTAAATTGATCATGACACACAAGATAGTGCTGTGCTGGAGTGCAATCCCGCAAGACAAATGAAAATGCCCATTTAGAGCTACACCATTAAAACCAGATTACTGGATCTAAACAACATATACAGGGATTAGAGCAGTGTGCCACTATTCCTTTAAAACATAAGATTATTAAACTGTTTACTCTCATTCCCTTGCCTATAATGTCTTGACTTCATGTTTTATAAATGTATTTCAGAACACCTGGCTTCTTACAAACTCCAACTTTAAGCAAACAAATCAGAGCATTTCAAAACAGTAAAGTTAACGACTCTAAATACTAGAAAGCTACCACTTCTACCTAAGCTACATGCCGCAAAAGGTCTTCATACAGTTAGGCAGATACACGATAATTTCATTCTTGCAGATTATAAAACAAAAAGACAAACCAAACCACAAACTTACAGGCAAGTAAAGAAGAGATGAAATTGCATCCAAGCATCGAAGTCGCAACTCCGTGGGGGCATTCTTCGCCTGGTGCCCTATTCTGTTTAACAGATTTTGAAATCTACTTCCTTTAAAAATAAAAACAAAGTGCTTTTACTTAATTCATGTAGACCTCTACAGGAGAACAGAGTTACCCGTCAGCCACATTATACTACATTAATTGGTACAAGAACTGTTGCACATTGAATCTGAGAAAGGCAACCTCTTGCTCTACTGTAATAAAAGCAGTGTAAGATTCTGCTCACTGCATATGGATCCAAGACAGATAAATCCAAAGCTTTTATGTTAATTCCCCACATTATCCAAACATTTACAAAAAGGAAGTTGTGTGTCACAGATAATTGAGTTATCCAAGGAAGCGTGGACCCTAGTACACTTGTAATTAGAAATCTTCAATCCCCTTCTACAACGCTCCACTAGCTATCTGCTAATACAGATTTTCACTTAAAAAACAACATTCAGACTAGCACCAAGAAGTCTAGCACCTACTTTCATTCCTCTGAACAGTTTCATATTAAGAGAAACAATGCAGTGTTTACAGAAAACATCAATACGTGATAGTTCATATTTTTCCAGTCCTGGTGAGAAGGTCATGACATCAACAGAAACAGAGAAATCTAAAGTAACACGACTCCTGACGATTTGCATGATGCAGCTCACTAGAAAATAATGATTCAAATCATGCTTGCAGTACCAGAATTCTAGCTGCCAGACATTTCACACTGCCACGCCTGATAAGACAGTTAAAAAGCACCTTATCTGCTATACCACAGCTATTCAGACACCCTTAATTATTAAACACATTCTTCAATTCCTTTCTCTGTTATACCAAACCAATTCATTCTTGTATATTACGACATACTGAGAAAGTTTTATTAAAAAAAATACTAACTAGTTTTCTGCAAAACCTGTTTGCCTTCCACATTTGATCCCAGGATTCCTAGTGTGTCCACAGCCACTCCAATCATGGTTGGATCATGACTTTCTGCCATTTCAAAGACTTTTTCCATAAAGACAGGGTATCGTTCACAGATCTGCTGCGGACTGTCTACAACAGCCAGATTCCCAAAAAATTTTACAAATCCTGAGAAAACAGAGACAAAAAAAAAGCATTCAGAGTGGAGAAACAGTAACTTCAGCAATGTCAAAATTAAACACATTAATGTAAGATTGTTTCACTGTTGAACTAGTGTAATGAAGTCCAAATACTGTTTGTGAAAGGCAGGAGAATAAGGACAGAACTAAGGAACAAGCCAGTATTTTGGAAGTTATGTAATCCGTGATCTAACAGCTTTCTTCTTGATTAAAAAAAAAAAAAAGACTACAATAACACAAACTTCAAACTTACAGTACAGTCTTTCCAGATCTTCCCTGTACTACTACTGTTCATGAGTAACAGTATTTATGTGTTAAACTGTCCTTCAGCACTTTTGTGTACATCCAACATATATGTTCTAATATTCAAAAATTCACACGAGCTTTCAAAACAGAGGCTTAACAGCCCTCTCAGTTTAACTCATCAATAAAAGCAAGCAGTAATCACAAAACGCATGCTGTAACCTGGTAAATAGAAGCCTGAGAAAGGATCAGACTCTGCACCAAGGATGATGTTTGAAATTTTGTCGATAACTCCTTGTTGAGCAAGATACTGACGCCCATGTGGAGTATGGGCCAGCGAGGTCACCATCTCTATACACGTAGCTCTGCAAGATACAAACACTTATTTTGACCTATCTCAGATGGGTTTTGAAGTACTCTGTGATTCAGAAAAAACAGGTTTTCTACCCTCAAGACAAAAACGACCATACAAAAAAACAAAAACCAAACTACCATAACTGTCCAACACTCCCCCAAGCTCACTGAGCTATCTTACTGTAGGTGTACTGTCAGAAAGGATTCTAAAGCCTTTATACGGCAGCCCAGCATCACAAGTACCACAGCATACCGGGGAAACTTCATCTCAGTTCTCAAATCTAAGTATGCAGTATTTTACACCCAAGGCTACTCAAGAAGAGGCAGACAAAACGCTTTCCTGAACAGAGTTTCAGAGAAACACACACAATGTGTTTGAAGAGTGTTATTCTAAGACTGAACATCAGAGTTTTAACAATGGGGGAAATCTCATCGGTAAACTCACTGCCAACATACCTGACCAGCACATCATCTCCAGTCAGCTCTCCAATTAACTCTGATATTAATCCACTGTTTGCACAGTAATTTAGTGAATCTGCTGACACCGAAGAAATCTCAACAATTAACTAAATAAAAGCACATGAAAAACAATGCTGGATGGTTTATAAAAACATTATAATGTTCACAATTCACAGTAATGGCCAAATACATCTTATAGTGCTGACTAACCCTATATGTACATTAAATATAGAATTTCATGATGTTTTCATAATTAAGCTAAATGCTTGCTCGAAACAAGTTCATAAGGAGTTCCAAGTTTACAGCACATGCATTCAGTTTCTATTCACAGTCATCTTTCCTTCAGAGGATCATCACTGCTATCCACATTAAGCTCTACAATGGCTAAATTGTATTGTTTCTCCTTGTACATATCTAGACTGACGTGCTTGGCATCTCTCTCTCGGTCTCTTTGCCCCTCCAGAAGTTTCAATAGCACTTCACATCCAAATGCTGAGAGACCACAGCAGCTATTTTACTTTTACTTTCAGAGAGGCAAACATTTTATTGTATCTTTACTTAACTCTCTGTAGCCCTTCCAATGCTCTAGGGACCACAAGTTATAAAATAACAGACATAAACAGTACTTCAACACCTGTGTACCACAAACTGAAAAGTTATGACATTATTTGAGGACCAACACTACTGTACTCTTCCTGCTCCTTTCTTCTCTCGACAAAACACACACATGAAGAAAAGTCTGTAAAGCAGTGATGAACACTAGCTTACAGGCAAGCCACAAAATCCAGACTGTAATTCAGAACTACAGTCCAAAAGAACGCCAGTATCATGTCATTCAAATGTTAACATTGGCTACACTCCTACCTCATATACTCTGTATCGAACGGTATCATTCGTTGCCATGACATTTTTCAAGTCACTCAACAAACTGCTCACAAATAAAGCCTCTAAGCCATCTCGTGTCTGCGCTATCCTTGAGAGAGATTTGATGGCCTGGAAACAAAAACAGCAACTTAGTATAAGAGAAACACAAAGAGAAGAAAGTCCAGGACGCCAGTTTCACTATTCTTTACTAACACATTAAATCATCTTAGGCACCTAAAATTTTAATTGCAATTCACTTTTTAATGAGAATTACCGTATCGTTGACAAGAGCTAGTTATGATTACTGTGATCCACGACATCTCTGACATTAAATTCAGGTCTATGAGTTCACTTTAGCATCAATAGCTACTGGAAGATAACAGTTCTAGGCATATTTTCTACCACGTCTAAGTAACTTCTGGGCTTAGGGCACCTACGTGCTTATAACATAAGCTCTCTTTTCTTCAAAGAGGAGCAGAGGCTGTCATCTCAGACACAGCAGGAAAAGGTGTTTTGTGCAGTGTCTACATCACTTTGTAGAGGAAGAAAAGAAGAAAGCCATGCTTACCTCTTTAGCCACTGCTATTTTCTCTCCACCAATGCAATTTATTATTTGCCGTAATAGTTCAGGACTGTTGAGAACTTCCGTAACAGCATCTGAATTTTCAACAATCCTCCCAATCTAAATACATGATTAAACAATTATAGAAAATGACATTAAAACAAACTTTTTTCCACTACAAGGGCATTCAAGCATTGGAACAGCTACCTAGACAGAACCACGATTTTCAGCGATACTCGAAATTCAACTGAGCAACGCCCTGAGCAGCCTGCTGCAAGCTGGCCCCACTTTTAGCTGGGGGCTGGACTTGAAACTTCCAGAAGTCCATTCCAAACTACAGGGTTCCACAATTCTGTTCTTTCAAATTAATGCAACACGCATCAAGTTACTACAACCTAGTCTTCTTCAGCGTTTCCACAATATTGTTCAAAGTATGCTGAATATCAAAACGTTGCTGCACTTCATTCTTACGGTACCTGCTGTCAGTGCTGGCTTAGGAAGCTTTATCCAGAACACCTGACAGGAGATGCATTTACAAGTTACTTCTGTCAAGACACAGTTTTAGACGTGAAGTTTAACAGATACATCATAAAGCATTACGTACAAACATATGGCACAGTATTTATCCAAAATTGCATGAGCGCGTAAGAGCACAATTCCTGCAGGTAACACTTGATGCAGTGCTTTTGTCACAAACTAGGACATGAAACACCAGTAACAGATTGGGACTAAACTAACCCAGCCCAGCTCAAGACACAGCTCTGTCCCCTCCTCCTGGAGGGAAACCCTGTACCTGAGATATGGTGAGGATTTTCACGGAGTCGTCGGAGTGAAAGAGCCCTTTCTGAAGCTCTTCCCTGAGGTTCTGGATCACATAGAGCGGGTCCAGGGCCTGCAGGAGCATCTCCAGGATGGAAACACAGGCAGACACCTGCTCCCTGGGCGGGACAGAGAGAAACCCAAGCCCGTCAGGAGGGGGACGCCGCC